TTATTATTGTTTTTCCATTTGCCTCTTCCTTTCGGCATATTTCGCGTGGGTCTCTTTGGTCGGCTTGTCGCGGCTGGTGGGTGCGTTGCGGTCGGCCCCCTCTTCGGGGGCTGAGAGGTCACGTTTTTTTTTTATTGGGGCGGGGCACGCAGCCGTGGCGCGCGGAGCGGTGCAGCTCCCTCGGGCTGGAGGGAAGTGCGGCGCGCCGACCTGCGAGAAGCAGCCGATGGGGCAAATAAAAGGGCCGGCCGGCACCGAGCGCGGTGAGGGGAGGTGTTTGTTCCTAGTGCGTTGGGGCCGCGGGGTTCCCGCCTGCCAGAGAGGAACCGGCAAGGAGGCCTGCGCACGCAACCACGCAGCGAGGCTCTCTGCCGACAGGACGCAGTGCAGACGCAAGCGGCCGCCACGCAGCAGGATGGCGTCGTGAACGGGGCGCCCCACCGGGTCCGCTTTTTTGCCGCAACGGGGGCAAGCTCCCGGGACGATTGCTGCAAGGCACGGGCGGGCAAAAGCCCTTTTCTGTGTTGGGCGGCAGTTCTTTTTGTTTTTTTTAGCTGCCTCACCGCGGACGACGATGGTTGGGGTGCACACAGGTGCCGCGGATGAGCATCGGACTCCAAGCGGGCCGGGGAGCCGGCGCCGTGAGGATGCGGTGGAGTGCTTTGGGGCTTTGGCTTAGAGCTGCCGTGGGTGGTGTTATTTGCGTGCAGCGTGCTGAGGGTGCGCCAACAAAAAAAAGATGTCGGAGGTGGGATGCCGCCGAGCACCCGAATGCTGGTCGGAGTGGCGGGGAGGAGAAGAAGGCTGCGGAATTTGTGGGGCCGGGAGGTGCACCAGCAGCAGGTGGCGATAGCGTACAACGACGTGTGCGCCGTGCGTGCTGAGTGAAGCGGCTTCGTGTTTCCTCTTCGGGCTCGCTGCGTGGCGCCTCACGTCCACGGGCACTGCGGTGCGGCTGGGGAGCGGGCGGTGGTTGCGTTTGAGGTGGCCGTGGCGGCGGTGTCACTGCAAGAGTTTGTGTGTTCTTGTGGCCGCACAACGAAGGCCTCTGCTGCATGCGTCTTTGCGCTGCTGCGGCTTTGATTATTGCTGGGTGAAGTGAAAACAAAAATAAAACGAAATATTGGTGGTGGGCGCCACTGCACCGCGTCATTCTTTTTATTATTTATTTTTGGTATTTTTTTTAGTTTGTGTTTACGCTGCGCCCCACTCCTGCTGCACTGCGCTGAGGGAAGTGGCCGGCGCTGTGGCCCGGCATTTGTGTTTTTCCCTCCTTTTTTTTGTTTTATTTCCTCCGCAAGAGGGCCGCAGACACCTGCGGCGAGAGTCTCTGGCTGGGCGTGAGCGGGCGCCTCTCCTCGGGCCGCTGCTCCCCTTCGTCTGACATCCTCCTCTCCGCTTCTCTTTTTTTGCCCCCACACACGCCGAACAAAAAGAGAGACCAAACGCTGCTTGCTGCCGCTGCCGCTGCTGTCTGCTTTGAGGGCTCCGCAGCTGCCATCGCCAGAAGCACACACACACACACACGCACGCACGCACGCACAACCATCGCGGCCTGAGCGGATCCACCGCAAGGAGGGAAAGAGGAGAGAGAGACCAAACATGCCGCGGCAACAGTGGCGCCGCAGCCGCTAATCAGGAGGGTGTCATGGGTCCGTTTGCCGGGACGACGGAGATTCCTGGTGTTGCGTGGGAGGGCGTTGGGGACGCTGCTCAATCGGTCACTTCCCTCCGCGTCCCCAGCCTTGTTGCGCTGGGGGAAAGGCGTTTTTTTGCTGTTGCCGAGGCCCATTGGGCGAAGCATGACGGCGAGGCCGGCTGCTTAACTGGGATTGCGTCGAAGCGCCTCAGGAAACCAGCGGGGGGCGCAACGGAAATCTGGGCGGCGGACGCAAGTCGGCTTTGCACACAAGTTGTGGAGGGAAGTGAGTCGGCTGTCAACAAGGCAGCGGACGTAATGCGGCCAACAGTGCTTGTGCGTGGCAACGATGTCTACATGCTGCTGGGCGGATGTACCCCTGCACAGCCTGGGGAGGAACTTGCCGGCATGACTGGCAGGAGTCTTTTGCTGGTGAAGGGCATTGCGATCGAAGAGGGTGATGCCGCAAAGAAGAAAATCCAGTGGGGTAAAGCCCCCTGCGGTGGAGCCCAACTTCGCGGCGAGTCTCAACTCCCTGACGCGGTTGGTTGGCGGCGGAGGCTCGGGTGTTGTGCTGAGCGACGGCACGCTTGCGTCCCCCATGCAGGCCACGGGCAGAGGTGGAAAGAATGTCCTGCTGTCCATGCGCCTTATGCAGTCAGATAATCAGTGGACGCTTTCGTCCATTACGGTCGGTGAGGGCTGCAGGGACCCGTCCGTCGAGGAGTGGGGGGTCGGCGGAAACCTCCTTGCGATGGCTCGCTGTGCGGGCGGCTACTACGACGTGTACGACTCCACCGAGGCCGGTACAGCTTGGTACGAGATAGGTGAGCCGATTACCCGCGTGTGGGGCAACTCACTGAGGCGCCAGGGAGGGCACGGCGTGCAGGGCGGACTCACCACCGCAGACATCGAGGACACGGAGGTGATGCTCCTCACCACGCCGGTGTATGCAGAGGACGCAGGCGCCGCCGCAAAGGCTCAGCTGCATCTTTGGTTGACCGACATGCAACGCGTATCCCTGGCGTAACCGACCACCTCACCGTGGTGCCAGGGCCCAGTACTCTCGGTTATACCGAGGGGAGGCTAAGAGTCGGTCCTTCCTGAGTGCTACTGCGTGTTGGAAGGTCTAGTACCCTGTCCAAGGGGAACCGTTTCGCATCATTATCTCGCTCCTGTAGTGGGAGTGGGGATGCTGGTAGGCCAAAATGCACAGATGCTTCGATGGAGTTAGGGCATCGAACGGAGACCCTCCATCAGACAACGTGCCCTCCGCCGTTGGCCTGCGTCCGCACGTTTTCATCTCTGTGCAGCCGCGCAAGCGGCACAAGGGGGTTTTAGTGGGTATGGATGCACTCTCCAGCATCGAGTCCCACATCACCGCGGTGCCGGACACTGTGGTATGCGAAAGCGCATTTCCTCCTCGTTCTGTGGGCGCACGAACAACGTCGGTTGTCGTAAAACGCACACTGACCAAAAAAAATCAGCGTATTTTCGATGTTGGGCAAGTCTCCATTGGCGGTGAGAATTCCGCCTACAGCTCCGTCCTGTACAAGGATGATAAGCTGTATTGTTTACACGAGATCAACACTGACGAGGTGTACAGCCTGGTCTTTGCACGCTTAATTGGGGAACTGCGTCTCATCAAGTCCGTGGTGCGGGCCTGGAAGGAGGAGGACACCCACCTCTCCAGCATCTGCACCCCTGCTGATCCTGCCGCTTCACCGTCAAAGGGTGGTTGCGGGGCCGCTGTCCCCACCGCCGGCCTTGTTGGATTCCTGTCTCACCTTGCCACTGAAAGCGTCTGGGAGGACGTGTACCTCTGCGTAAACGCAAACGTAACAAATGCGGAGAGGGTTCCCAACGGGTTGAGGTTCAAGGGAGTCGGTGGAGGGGCGCTTTGGCCGGTGAGCCGGCAGGGGCAGAACCGACGGTACCAGTTTGCAAACTACCGGTTCACGCTGGTGGCGACGGTAACAATTGACGAGCTTCCCGAGGATGCGAGTCCTGTGCTGGGCGCGAGCCTGGGCGGTTCCGGCGACACCGAACTCCTGGGGCTGTCGTACGACAATAATCTTCAGTGGCGGCCAATATACAAGGACGCGCCGGTGTCGCCGACAGGATC